GGGAAAGAGGGAGAGACATGGAGAAAGAGGGAGAGAAATCAACCACTACCACCACCACCACCACCACCCCACAATGGGGCATGGTCACATTGCAGTTGTTTTTCCTTTCTTTCTCCATCCTGTATGGATTTAAGGCACACACAATTGCCATGTGTGTTTTTCAAGTCACCAAGATTGCAACTTAAACCATCCAATTCCCTATGTACAGGCTTAACAGCTCTGCTACAGAGCTGGTCTATAATATACTATCCTTAAAATTTTTATTTTCTATTTATTGCTAAGATATTACTGAGAATAACACTGATATTTTGTATTGATTGTATATCCAGCTTGCTTCTTCAGCTTAATTCTAATGTGACCTGTAGATTCTTTGCTAGTTGTCTTTTCATTTGCGATTAATGAGAGTTCATGTCTCTAACTTTGTAATTTCCCACCTTTTCTTTCTTCTCGCTTTGGTCTCTCGGCTAGAATGACTGCTAGGACCAGGTTGAATGGAAGTCATACTAGTAGATATTCTTGGGTCACTATTATTCTCAGATAAGAGAAAGAGATTTTAAATTAATCTGCAAAATATAATGTTTTTCTTTTTCTTAATTGTTATCTTTGATCAGATTAAGAAGGTTCATTTATTCTAGGGATATATATATATAATTATTATGTAAACATTAGGCTTATATATATGTAAAAGTATAGATATTTTTATGTTTACATAAAAATTACCTCATTCCCTACCACTTTGCTTAAGGTTTTAACATTGGTGTTTATGACCGAGATTAAGATTGAAATTACCTTTTCTGTTGGATTCTGATACTAAGGTTGTGCTGTCTTAACCTAATAACTTAAATTAGATGTAACATGAAGTAACATTAAACTCCAGAACTGTACCTAGTGCATCGAAAGATGTTGTGATTGTCAGTGAGAGAGAATCTCAGTACAGTAGTAATTCATATCTTTGTTATTTTTTTTTTGTTTTCTTTGTTTGTTTGTTTTGAGAGGCTTTTGCTATAGGGTATGTGTGCTCACCAGAAAGACAGAAAGAGAAAGAGAGAAAGAAAGTGAGAAATCACCCCCCAGGGGAGATAGCCATACCACAATCCCTTCTTCTCCATTCTCCCCCCGGGATCTTGGGCACACACACACATGTGCCTGGCATGAGTTTAAGCCACCGAGTCCAGGACTTGAACTGCAGTCTACTACATGGCAGTCCAGGGACATAGCCATTACACCAACTGTTGGTCTTGGTAATTCATATCTTTAAATAGCAAGAATAAAATAGTTAAAAGAAAGGTGAGGAAGTTAACATGTTTTGGGGTGGTAATTTAATGGCTTTGTGAACTTGAAGGAGACCTTTTTAGAACAGAAGAGACGAGTATATCGAATGCTCAGAGACCATGCCAATAAGGAGGAAGGAAATGAAGATAAAGGAAAGAAAGGTGATCACTGATAGAGGTGAGAAGAAAGAGGAGAGGCCATGCTTAACCTCAGCACAGAGAACATCATTTCCCAGAGTGATTAAGGGAAGGATGTAATGAAAGAATAGTATTTGCAAGCAGGTCTTCAAACACCATTTTTTGGTGTTAATAAAAGAAAAAGATTGTTAAGTATAGCATCTTTTATTAAGGAAGTTGAAGGTGGATTATCTGCTAAGAAGAAAAGAGTTGCAGCAGATAATGAGACAGGAGATTTCAGGGCAGTGAATGAGTTTCAGAATAGCGGCTGTGAAAAACGGAAGAGAGCTGTTTACCAGGGAGCATAGAAGAATTGCTAGATAGGGCCACTGGCTCATCTGAGGTCAGAAATTACAATTTCACTGTAGCACTCGTCTACACGGTCGCGTGTGTTCATCAGTGGCACTCAGCAAGCTGGATGAATTTGAATGTAGGCTCTGGGTTTCATTAGGTTGCTTCTCGTTTTGTTTTTGATCATGGTACAATGAAGCAGTGAGGTTAAGGATACTGGCAAGACAGTGAAGTGACAAAGCATGGAATCTAAATTGGACATGGACGGCAGTGAAGACAGGAGGATTCTGAGCAATGTAAAGTACAGCTCAAGAGGAAAGAGCCCTCAGCACTTCAGAGAGCCTGTATAATTAATGTGGATTAAGTGAGAAAATGTCAAAGCCAGGAAGCTGTTTGGAGAGAGAGAGAGAGACAGACAAGACATTTGAGTTCATGATTCCAAGGGTGGGTGGATTCCAGGTACCCACCAAGTCCTGCCTATGAAGGTGGCCGAGAGGGCTTCATTTAGCTTCCAACGACCAGTGCAGTTCAGTGCAGTTCCAAGGTCAACGGCATTGCTTCACCCTGCTCTGAAGTCGACGTCAGTAATTTGTTCTCTCTGTATTAAGGTGACATTAAATGATACATATGAAATCTTGTCTAGTGTATTCTTAAGTAATAGTAAATAACTCTCGTAATTAGTTCATTGCATTTCTAAGCTCCAACACCCAATCTGGACTCAAATGCTCCTGGGAGCTGGCATTATACAGACACCATGTGACAAGCACTCTAAATATTTACTCTATGGTGCCTTTTACATTGTTGATACTCAAACTATTTTTTTTTAATTCGTGTTTTAAATTCTTTTAAGCATTCTTTATTCTTACATATGTATTTACTTTTATAACTCGAATGTTTGTCTATTAAACTGAAAGCTCAATTAGTTACTGGCTTTATAAAACTCCAAACTTGAGCTCTCAGATAATTTTAAGAGTATTAAGAATTAGTTCATGGATTGCAGACATTATTCATAAATAGATCCCTTCCTTCATACAGGCGTTAGCACATGTAATAATGTTTTCAAAGATACTTATGAAGTGAAAACCTGGCCATGCAGTTTATATTTACTAGATGTGTGTTTGACTTGAAGGTCCCACTTCCAGTTTTGCCATGACTCAGAAAGAGTGAATGGCTTTCCAGCTGATGAACTGTCAAGTTGTCAGTGTTTATTCCGCTGCCAGTGGCTAAGTGTACACAATGCCTGCAGCCTTATCACCTCGAGCAGGAGTACTGTCAGATCCCATAAGCTAAGCAGGGTTATGTCCGCTGTGAATGTGAGATGGACCAAGTGTTCACAGTCCCCAATTTTGGACTAGCCTCAGCTCTCTTGGCATGTATTAAGTGAGGATTTCATTTCTCTGAATTTGGTGAGAACGTGAAAAGGATTATTTAATTTTTACTGATGCCGAGTAAAATGAAGAGCCAACCTGCTCTGATATGTTTTACATGTTGTTTTACTTTGATAGAAGGTGGTGTTTCATTCCGTGGTTTGTGTATTGAAGGTGTTAGCGTACAGTATATCCTTGAAGGTAAATGCAAGGAAAATGCAAAGCCAAATTCTGAAACAAAGGTTTATATAGCATTAAATTTTGCCCCAAAATATGGTTCTTCATGTTTATGTTCACCACCATGCAAAATTTATAAGAAAAAAACTGAGAGTAATAACGTCATATCAAATCATCTAAAACCAAACATAAGACATTACAAAGTAGAGATTAAATTAAATAACTTTACATTTAAAGCACTAATGTGTGCTTTTCCCTTAGAAGAGGAATTATACATAATAGCCTTTTTGCTTGTTTGAATTTTCTTTGTTTGGTTTGGTTTGCCAGTGCTACTCACATTTTATTGTAAAGACGGAGTTCCAGCATTAAAATTTAATACTGTGGACTTAATGTCTTTGAACTTTATCACAAACAGGAAAATAAACCTAGGAAAAGTAGATTAAAGCTGGTTTCACAACCAATCTTAATTGCATAGTAATGCTCAGTATCTTCATAAAAGTGTTTTCTCATAAGTTGATGAAATAAAATGGCACAGCGGAGATATTTTAGCTCCTAGGTACACTGGTTTCTCAGATAAATTTAGAATCTTTGCTCAGGTTCTCCAACATTAAATTCACAATTATAAAATCTGCAGCTTTGCATTCTTGGGAAAACCTAATGTGCTGTTTCCACAAAGAATATTATATAGATTGTTGTTGGTCCATTTTTAATGAACTGAAAGCTTTTACTGCCTTGTGCTTAGAAAGAGGGATAAACAACCTTGCTTTCAAATGGCCGACGATCAAATATTGTACTGGTATTCTTCAACATTGTGTTTGTATTCGGATTCTGTAATATCTAAAATCACATTTCCTTGTTTCATATTACTTAGCTCTTTTCGTTATAACCTTTTTGGCAAACTAATGTTATATGTATAGGATACAATTATATGATAATCCTGTTATTGGTACATATATTTCAGAGGGTTGCATGTATGTAATCAATACTTATAATTATTAATACTTGTTTGTAGTCTTTCTCATTGAAAAGTAACTCTGCAAAACAAACTTTTGTTTCTTTATTTTCCCCCAATTCATGGTATATAGTAGATACTTATTAAGTATTTAATGAATTATTTAATGCATACTTATACATACTGATATAAGCATCCATAAGTTTCTCTGCACCTATAAGTTCAGCAACCTTTTTTCTTAAAAGACTTTTTGTGATAGGACATGTGAGCTTGCCAGAGAGACAGAAAGGCATAATTCACCTCCCAAGGCAGATGGCCACATCACAATCCCTTCTCCTCCATTCTCCTCTTGAGATTTTGGGGATCACATACATGCACACATGCACACACACACACATGCCGCCAAGTCCAGGACTTGAACCACCATCAACCTCATGGGAATCCAGATCCTTAACCATTGTGCCACCTGCTGGCCCCAATCACGTTTCTTCTTTATTCAAATGAAAAATAAATAAACGCACATAAACTAATTTTTAACACACCACATTAGAGTATGAGCGTGTGAATACACTCTTTCCATTTTTGTATTCTCACTGTCCAGTGGAGTTGGGTACTTGGTCACCAAAAGTACAATTACGGATTTTAATGGTTACTAATAAAGCTGTATGTGTAATTCGTTTGCTAGAATTCATAGAGAATATGGAAAGAGTAGGTAGTTAGTTTGGTTATTCCAAGGCTCAATAAAATTATTAACATTTATAGTTTAAAATTATTTTCTGGCAACTAGACTAGTTTAACATTTGTAATGGAAACACATGTGTAGCCTTTATGATCAGAGAGACCTGAATTGAAATTCTGACACTGTCACTTACTAGCTATGTGATTTTGGGACTTCTAAACAAAGTCAGTCTTAATATCTTTATTTGTAAAATGTCAATAATATTAGGTTATTGGGAAAGTCATGATGTACTTTTTTGTTTATCTATGCAAAAATGTGCCATGACATTTCTGACAACCCAATAATAAAGCACTTATCTCTCAAGATTGTTGTAAGGATTAAGTGAAATTATGTTTGTCGGTTGCATAATGGTATAATTAAAATAATGCCCATTTTCAAGTGGATGGTACTCTATGTGATTTATTTTCAAGCCAACATAAGAAATATAAAGTTGAGGTGTTATTCTGACAAGAAATTTCTATGTGAAGTGGAGGAAGTAATTTCATTTTAGGTGTGATTGATAGAGCATTATACATTTCAATCAAAGAAATGGCATAAAATAACCTTTTTGTTTTGTTTAATGTCCTTTCTGACTCTAAATTCTACAAATCTATTAAGGCTTGGGAGGCACAGTGTCTACAGTTAGGTGGAAAGTTAATAGTAGAGACTCTGGTATTAAATGTAGCCTGCATAAACTCAGTCTTTTAATTAAGACCATAAGTGTATAATATACCATCTTTATTTACTGTCATATTTCTAACAATGAATTTATGTCTGGGAAGGTTTTATATAAATAAGGAGAATCTAGAAAATGTTATAAATCGACAAAGTGTCCTGAACACAAAATTTTTTGTTTCTTCCATTCTCTACTGTAATCAAGATCATTTTAACTCGACTTGCTTTTATTCTGTGTCTTTAAGAAAATAGTTTATCCCATAAAGTCATGAGATTGTGTTATAACTGGGAATGTTTACAGGCACATATATCTAGGTGCTCATAAAGAGACCCAGAGAATCTAAGTATTCAATCCAATACTTTATAAAATCTCCATTGTGTTGGACACTCAAAATTATTGATCCCAGCAGTCTCCTCATGGGTAGAGAATCTTTGCACTCTCGAAAATTATATACCATGACAAAATTGTTTCTGCTTCAACAGAAGCTCATCTGCTATCACTGCAGATGAGAGGCAATAACTGCTGCTGTTTAGTGTTACTTTGACTTTTCGGAAGAG